AATAAAACGTGAAAAGCTCTTCAACAAAATGTAACGACATATCCAGAATTCATGCCTAACCATGAAAAGCTCCAGTGCCGTATCAGGAAGCACAAAGACTCACACACACTGTCAGAAAAAAACGGTGGCGTTACCCTTTCAAAAGGTACTAATATGTACTACTTGGGGATAAATAAGATACAATAATGTACCTTTTAGCTGTACTTTTTTTTCTTTGTACGAGACTTTAACAGAATTTACCAGCTCACTGGTTTTGTTCCTTATTTTATTTTCACCTCGCACTTTTCCTTCTCATTTCAGAATACTATTTTATTCTTTTAGTCAGTATTTTCCTTTTGAACTTCTGATACTTTAATTTCAGTAATTATATAAATAAGTAATTCTAAAATCAATGTATAATTGTAAATATTTGTGTACAAATAATCTATGTATCATTTAATTCTACTTACAAAATTATGCATTTGTACACTTTTATATAAATAATTTATGCATTATGCAATTATATAAGTAGTGTTATATAATTGCTTATATATTTATATAAATAATTTGCTATATAATTCTATAATTAAATGCTATAAATGTTTTACTTTTAGTTAATTTAATTATTTTTATCAATTATTTTAATTATTTAGCACAAAGCAGCACAAAGTCCTTGTAGCATTTATTTACATTTTACCATATTTTTACTTTTATTAAAAGAATTATATAAACAAAAATAAGTGTATATAACTTGTATGTAAATTATTTGTTATACATTTAATTATATAAAATTTTTATTGTTTTATATTTTTAATACATTTTTATAAATTATACAATTATAGAAATAATGTGTGTGTGTGTGTGTGTGTGTGTTATAGTATAGAATTATATATTTTAATATAAATAATTCATTATAGAAATATAAGCTCAATAATTTATTTTCTTTAGTTAATTTATTCACTTTTGTCAGTTTAATATAGTTGGCAACTAAGCTTGGCAATAAAGGTAATCTGAAAACTGTGCAGCTTTATGTGCAGACACAGATTCATGCAGGTTCTGTTTCTGGTTATGCCGGTAAAACTGAAAGTGAAAAAGGGAGTGAGTGAGTGAGGTACGTTACTGAAGCAGGACTGAACATTCACTGCTCTAAAAGCTTCTCTGGACTTTCACTTTGGAGGGGTGCAACTTCAGGTCTTTCCCACGAGACCAGAGAGAAAGAGAGAGCAAATGAAAGAAAACAGAAGAGCAAGAGAGGAAATAACAGCTGAAAAACATCACAAAGGCCCAACTGCTAATTGAAAAGAGTGCAAATTAATTACGCTAATGAAGCAATTAAAGGGCTGTCATGCAACCAAGCCGGTAAGCATTTTGTTTCTCAAGCATTCCCCCGGTGTCTGTGAGCAGGAAGATGCAGAACACTTTCTCCTCATTCCTCCATTTCTTCTCCTTCTCTTTTAATCTAGTGAAACACAAACTGCAAGAAATGAGCCGAATTACAATATTTTCACCAATAGAATAAAACTGAAGGTCAAACAAAGGACGTGTTAAACAGTATGTAAACGTATATGTTTATGTCTTGTTTTTCAGTAAAAACAGTAGGGTTTTTTGTTTTAAGCATCAATGATAAGTCATTAAAGATATACTATATAAAGCAATAAGATATAAAACAATATTTACCTCCTGTCTTAACCTCAGTATGTTTCATTGATGTACAAAATAGACAGTTATAAATGGACACACTTTGGCACACAAAACACACAAGGATTGATGTTTGCTTATCGGCCTTTTCGTTATTTCAGACCTTACGTGTCGTGCATACAGGTGTGTCTGTGTGTGTGTGTGTGTGTGTGTGTGTGTGTGTACTTAACCATATTTTGGGGACAAATTTGTACCCAAAAGAGAGCTAAACCTGATAAAATCTCCAAAAACCTCCCTTTGGGGATGTCCTCATTTGTAAAACTGGTATAAAAATAAAGTAAACAAAGTTTTTTTTAAATTGTAAAAATGCAGAAAGTTTCCTGTGAGGGGTAGGTTTAGGTGTAGGGTTGGTGTAGGGTGATAGAATATACAGTTTGTACAGTATAAAAACCATTACGCCTATGGGATGTCCCCATTTAGATAGCTAAGTAAACGTGTGTGTGTGTGTGTTTTTCTTCTTGTTTTGAGTATTGTTTGAGGCCCAACATGCATCAGTTTTTCTCTGTGCTGTCCAGAGGTGAGTGATGTCCTCAAACGGCTCTTTTATCAGACTCTTGGGAACTTCAGAGGAACAGAGATGAACTCAGGGAGAGAATTTAAAAAAAAAAAAAAATTGTATTATATTTCAAAAATATGATTTAATGATATTTATTTTACTGAATGCAACAGATAGCTTTATTTTATTAAAATGATATTCAAAATAACATTAAATTCATTACTTTCATTAATATTTTAGAATTTAAATTATCCCATTTTTGTACAGTTAGATAGGATTTTTTTCCTGCAGTCAACACAAATTAAATTTTTCTCTCTTTCTTTTCTCTCTCTCTCTCACTCTCTCTTACTCTTTTTTCACATGTTTGAATAAGCGTTTTCTGTTCTTGTTCATCATGCGTGTTTTAATGATTAATGCTGTATTGATATCCTCAATTAATTTGCTATTATGTCACCGTAGATCTTCCCAGCTCTCTTGCACATCTCCATTTGCTTAAGAGACGTCTCTATTCCCCGTGGCAGATGCCTGTCAGTAACGCTGCATGTGTGTTCATTTATATTCATGTGGGTCTGTGTGTAGAAATAAAAGTGACAAAAAAAATTATTAACCCTCTGATGCTGCTGTCCTCTAATGTGATCTCTAAAAAAGCCATTTTAACCATTCAAAACATTTATGGATCAAATAATACACCTTTGACCCTTACCTATAATGTGTCTGACTGTCCTCTTTGCATGTCATTGTATTTCTAAATAATTCATAAGTATAATCAAATTAAATAATATAATAAATATTTACCACTGGTAAATAATCCATAATATAAAAAAAATTAAAACGCATAATTAAATGCAAAATGCATAATATATATTTTTTAAATCAGTAGGTTCAAATATTTACAACTAAACAAATTGAATAAATATTATTAATTAATTAATTTACAATAATAAAGAAATAATAAGGTGTCAAGTCAAGTCAAGTCACCTTTATTTATATAGCGCTTTTAACAATACAGATTGTGTCAAAGCAAGTGAACAGCATTAATTAGGAAAATAGTGTCAATAATGCAAAATGACAATAGTAAACACTCATTTTTCAGTTAAAGACAGTTCATCATTGAATTCAGTGATGTCAACATCCAGCTCAGTTTAAATAATATCTTTGCAATCATGTCAACGATAACGCTGCTTTTTTTTCATGATTTTCTGTGATTTAATAATTCATGCAACAAAGGGTTAATGCAGCACTCCAGGCTCTCTTTCTCTCAAAATGTCTTTGTAAATTTGTGTATTAATGTTTTAATGTCATAATTTATAGCATCAACCGGCTCAAACACTTTAGACAACCTAAAGAAATGCCCCAGCATGTAGATGAAGTGAGTGGAGTGCAGATATCAGTGTCAGGAGCCTCTGGGCAGGTCGGTGAAGATGAGCCATACTCAGAGTTTAAATGACAACACACACTTCTGTGTCCACATGTAAAAGCCTTCGCATGTGGGGGGAAATTGCCCTTGAAATGAATATAGTGTGTGTGTGTGTGTGTGTGCCCTGGGCAGAGAGCAGCTTAATGACGGACGCACTGGAACATTCATCATCACATTCACAGCGTCCTGGGCAGATATTAAACACAGCCCAGAATACACACACACAGACTCAATACATTTACACTCCCACAATATGCAATGCATACAGCTACGAGTCCAGACACACACACAGAGACAGACTGTATGATCGTTAGATGTCATGCATGAACACAGCGACATGCCTGCAGAATGTCAAACACTCTGCGGACACAGTTTCTAGCCCCACTGTGTGCATCTGATTCGCTTTTATTTCTCTCATTTATGGTTCTTATCTTGTTTTCCAGTAGAAATATCTAAACATTCTTAAGATACAGTTACTGAAAATGCGAAATGACAAAATATATTGTCTTGTTTTCTGAGAAATGCATCAAATTAAATCAGTTTTTGCTTTAAACAAGAAAAAAAAACTTTGTTTTCCTGACCCCACTGGCAAAAACTCACTTAATTGTGATAATTTTTCAGAATACAAAAGTATATATGTGACCCTGGACCACAAAACCAGTCACAAGGGTCAATTTTTCGAAATTTTGATGTATAACTCAACTGAAAGCTGAATGAATAAGCTTTCCATTGATGTATGTTTTGTTAGGATATGACTATATTTGGCTGAGATACGACTATTTTGCTGGTAACTTCTGTAGTAAAAATACTATGGAAGTCAATGGCTGCGTCAATTGATTGGAATTAAATATTATAATAAAAATGTTATATATGTTATATGCAAGAAAACAAATTTATTTTATGAAAATATAATGTCATAAATATGTAAGATAAATATACAAATATAGGCTAATAAAATATAATAAAAAATTAATTTTGCAAATGATATTGTTTACGTTGATTTTTTTTTATATATTTCATCCCAAGCATGCTCTTCAGAAACTTTAAATCAATTGAAATAGTTGCTTCGCAGAATGAAACTCATAACTCTACACGCTGGTCGGAATGGTAAACTCAAACATGCATAAAAACTACAACTCTGACATTTGTTAGTTATAATAAAAATCAATCAAACCACAATCTAAGAGCACCACTGCAGTATGTGTTTGGTTACCATGGTTTACCGTGTTTTATTCAAGACACGTTTCCTAATTCCTCTCCATAAACTCCAAATTTTGGACTTTCTTTTGAGCAGGAGCTTCGTCCTGACGCTGGTCTCCTTCTGTGTCAAGTTCAAGTTCCTTCTTCCCTCATTATTAAATGCGGTCTTACATCTCATCAGCTTCTCTCTTTTTCTTTTTCTCTCTTCAGAACCCTGACATTGTGCTGGTCCACTACCTGAACGTGCCCGCCATAGAGGATTGTGGGAAACCATGCGGGCCCATCCTCTGCTCCATCAACACGGATAAGAAAGAGTGGGCCAAATGGACCAAGGAAGAACTCATCGGGCAGCTCAAACCCATGTGTGAGTGTTAAACTACGTGTCTACACAGTGTATTAGAAAAGAAATGGTATAAAATACCTGATATAGAAAAAAATATTCAGTTGGATCATGTTAAGCTAGTTTAGTTGAGAGTGTTGCTATATATTCATGGTCATTTCAGAGAAGATTCATATGTATCTACAGTGGCCTCAAAAAGTAAGCAAGTCACACATAAAATATACAAATATGAAACTGAATGTCATTGCATTAGATAATACATTATATAAACGTGGCATTTCCTTTCATATTGTGTTTCAAAAGCAGTGTTTTGTTTTTAACCAACAAATTTCATTTCCATCAAATCACCATTAATTCTGTGGGACATGATGACATTTTAAACGTTGTTGTAATAATTCCATTCATTCCATGATTTAATTTATGATTGGCTCAGATTATGCATTTAGTTTCATCTAAATATGCACAATTAAATACTATTTTTACACTTTCACAAAATTATAGCTTGATTGGATGTTTTATTAGATTGTATATTTTAATTATAATTAGTATTTTTAATCATTATAATTATTACTTTATATTATAATTATAATTAATGAATCTAAATATTATCTCGTGCTCTTTTTTTTTATTATTTCATACGAATTTATATAATTTTCTATTAAATAAAAAATAAATAAATATATTTAAAAAAATTAAAAAACAAATATTCGATTCACAAATTGCATTATTTACATTGTTTTTTAAAAATAATACTGTTTATGTGTTTATTTATTTAATAGCTATGTATTCATGGTTATTTCAAGAAAGATTCATCTGTATCTACGGTGGTCTCAAAAAGTATTTGGACACTTAAATCACACTTAAAATATGTCATTGCATTAGATTTGCTTTCATATTTTGTATCTAATGCAGTGACATTCAGACAAGTGTCAAAAAAAATCTCAAAAGGGTGCATTTGTACTACAGGTGCGTGTCAGTAAAAAAAGATATCCCCATTCTCTAGCCTCCTGTGCTTTTAACTGTACAAAACCAGCTGACCGTGTCGACACTCTCTGTACATTCACAGCAGTTCTTTTTCTTGTAATATTAGAGTGACTTTTAAATCTGAACACACATCAATGAGTCATTAACTTGATGATATGGTAGTGCAGCGCTGAAAGGGCAGGAGAGCTTCTTACATCATCATCATCATCATCATCATCATCTCTTTGAATGACCTTCCGAGTGAAACTCAGTGACGGTGCAGGACTGCCACCTTCTGGTGTCAGGAGCAGATCGTAGGGAATCTGAGCTGGAACTCAAGTTTCTGAGGTGGCTGACTGCTCTCACCAGTCATGACACAGGCCGTTCAGATAAAATGGCCCTGATGTGGCCCATATATGTGTTGGGGCATAAAAGGGGCACTCTGGTTAGATGTGTGCAATTCAGGTAAAAATGTCTTAAAAAGTCAGCGAAAGAATAGTAACACCATTGATATACAGCATGAAGAAAATGTAACTTATTTTATTCTTATGTAAATTAAACACATTTCCCCTACATTTAATGTTCAGAATATTTAGCTTTTGGGTGTAATTCAAATTATTCTCAATTAGGTTATTATAATTGTATTATAATTATTATAACTAAAACCACTCAAAATTGTGTTTTGAAGCAAAAGAAGCTATAACAGAAATAAAATCGAATGAATTTATTTTATTTCGGATACCAAAGCAACATTTCTCCTTTACATTTAGTTGAACTTGATCTACTAAAATAACTGAAAGTGAAATAAAAATGAATGTAAACTCTATATACATATTTAAAAATGAAAATAATATCATCATCATTTATAAAAATGACAAAAACACACACAAAAAAATGTAAAACCAAAACCAAAAATACGAAAATACAAATATACTAAAATAACACTGATTCTCAAAGATTTTCATTCGATTCTCATTTCTGTACACAAAAAATAATTCCATTGATAAATTCAGTACAACAATTTAAATAATATCATTTATTTATTTATTTATAATTAAAGAATGAAAATCTGATTCAAAATGTATTTAATTTTCATGAAAAAGTCAATGCAAAAAAATTATATGTATATATATATATATATATATATATACATATGAATATATATACAAATATATATCTTCAAATGTGTGTGTGTGTGTATGTGGTGACAAATGAGGACACATCAATTTGTATACATAGGTATTACAAGGAGAAGGTGACTTTTCAGGACATTACCCCATGCCCCCACTTTTCAAAACGCTTATAAATCACACAGAATGGAGTGTATTGAAAATCTATGCCTATGGGATGTCCCCACTTTTCACAAAAACAAACCTGTGTGTGTGTGTGTGTGTGTGTGTGTGTGTGTGTGTGTGTGTATACACACATATGAATGTGCATGATGGATATGTAAGCTACTGTGTAATGCGACTCTCTCACTGAGACAAACTGATTTGTATTGACTAAAATCATGAAGTTCTTCTCTGAGTGTCTCTAATTGGATTGTGTCAGATAACTGTGATGTTTATTTCTGGACTGAAAGATGAAAAATTATGCTCTCAGTAGATGGAGTGCACAGTTCCATGCTGTGTTTTCTATCATATAGATGTGTGATGCTTTCATCTCATTAAGCCTGCACCCAGAGCCTCATTACTAAAACATCCTGCACATGAAACAGCAAAAAGAGAGTAAAAAAAGGTATTTGACAGGTTCAGGCTTGTGGCGTGCATTATTAGTTGCAGTATCTCAAAATGTCCAGCAGATGTCAGTGTTGCATTGTTTTGCTTTATGAAACTACATAGCTATATTGTTTTGGGGCAGTTGTTGTAAAACAGCACCTGTTTATCCACAGTTACCTGAGATAGGACTCATAAGTTAAAAGGAAGTAGAGCATTTTTGTGGCACTTTGGGAATGTTCCGAGTTGAATGCAAGTTTGAGCAGCATCTGTGACATTTAGTCGTTTACCAGAGAGCATCATTTTAAGAGCTTGTGTACAGTAATACACTTACAGTGAAAGTCTGTGGGCTTAAATGCTTAATATACATTATATGCATGAACATGGACTAGTGTACTTAATAACTATGTATTAATAATCCTGTCTGTGCAAAGTTTATTGCAGGCTTATGTGAAGTCTGCACTGACAGAACTCTGTAGTTAAGATTTTCACAGAATTTAAGTTACACACACCCTCAAGTATATGAATATTCATTTATTTAATAATTAATTTGCCTTTTGGTTGACTTTTTAATGCATTAATATTCCATTTAATGCATTTTACCATGTTTAAATCCTACAGATAAGCTCAAAAATGCAAACTAGTCAGTAGATTACATTTGGGCCAGGTTATATTTAATATTTCCAAAATATTACTATGCAAACGTCCTGTCATCACCAGGTATAGCAGGTAAACTTAGTAACTTTTGTGCAAGTTTCCAAGGTTCACATTAACAGAATTTCATTATTTAGACAGCTCAATAAAATAGTTTGTGCTGAAAAATTTTTTTAAGCGCTTTAAACATTCTGCTTTTAAACCTTTAAACCGTAGACTTCCAAAGCAAGTGCATTACTGCAAACACAACTTTGTTTTTACAAACTGAGGGTACGTTTACACGACAACAATGTTAAAAATATTACAACAATGACAACAATATTGTCAACACAATCCCCGTTCACACGGATCTGCGAAAAACGACTAAAAACGCTATATTATACATGCCAGGCCAGTAGTTGGCGGTGTCACTTGGTGAAGAAATATTACGTGAACATGTAATACGTATGTGCATGACATCACTGTTTCCCCAAGTTTTTTGCAGAGACAATAACAGTATTGTTTTCAAAAACTTGCACTTTGAAACCCGTTGAAACCCAAAATGCTGTTGTTGTGTGAATGAACGGCCAAATGCATAGAAAGTTTTCTGATTTTAGTTGAAAATGTTGTTGTTTAACAAAATTATATCAGAGGTAATCCAAAGCATGCCACAGATGCTTCAACCCGGAACATTTCTGTAGGAAAAGGCATGGATTCAGCCAATGATGAGTGACAGCGTGTAGACAGTGTTGGGGCAGTTTGGCTGTCTCTCCCCTGCAGTGTCAGTAGGGGGGGTGCTGGCGAGGTGCTGGTCTGTGTGGCTGTCTGGCTGACGTCTGTGTCTCCTCTCTCCCGGCAGTTCATGGCATCAAGTGGACTTGCAGCAACGGGAATAGCAGCACTGGCTTCTCAGCAGAGCAGCTCGTGCAGCAAATTCTGGACAGCCACCAGACCAAACCACCTCCCCGGACTCACAACTGCCTCTGCACGGGAAACCTGGGTAAGGGAACGGGCCTGAAATGATATCTCTGTATTATAGCTCAATTGTTTCTCACAGTGAAAAAAAAAACCTAGTAAAAGTGTCTCAACATTATTAAACATTGCAGCAAAGTCAGAGATTTCAAGATGAACTAAAACTCTTCCAATACCAAATGATCACAGCTTCTGTCCACGTTCATTTTATAACACTATATTCTTATTGTATGACTACTAATTAATGCTCCTTCTATAAGGATGCATGTGGGTCCATTTACTGAGAGCCATTAATCAACTTATCTAACAGTGATTTCACTGTAAGGTAGTATAAATGAGATTTTTGTAAAAATATAAATCTGACCGTATATTATTTAAATGTGGACATTTAGGACTACTGAGAGCCCTTTCCATCAGTTTCAGTATAAATTATGACCAGTAGATGGTCCTACTGAGTCAAGTAAAAATGATAAAGCTGAGTACAAACCTTTCTCCTCCACAAATTACTGTCAGACATTGATTAATGCATTTACAGTAAACAAAACAGATTATGAAACCAATGCATTCATTTTCTCTAAAATCATACTGACAGATGACGGTGTTGATTCAAGTGAAAATAAATATTCTTCACCACATATCACAAATATGATCAGACAGTTTAAAAGAGAAAATGATATGAAGTCACTTCACTCACAATCTCCAACATTATATTTTATTTGAATGTAATTTTAATTGTTTCCTTTTATTTATATTTTTTAAATATCTATTATGTATTAATCTTGTTCTATTTTAATTATGGGATTTTTATTTGCACTTATTTATTATGTATTTTAAATAACACTTCCTTAGAAATAGACATTAGTACATTTCTCTGGTAAATAGAGGGACGACTCTTTTCATAAATCATAAACCAATAAAACGCATGGCTTAGCTTTATGTGTTGAGCTATTTTTAGGTTACATTTATATTATAACGTAACTTAAAATGTGTCTACTCTGTTTCTGTAGGTGCTGGGAGCAGCCTGCATCACAAATGCAACAGTGCCAAACACCGTATCATTTCCCCGAAAGTGGACCCACGTACCGGAGGTGCCTACAGTAGCACCCACTCTGAGGTTCAAAACAACGACGTGTCAGAGGGAAAGACGGAGCACAGCCACGGCAGGGGCAAAAATGGCAGGGCAGGGGGTGACAGTGCCAGTGGAACGGGTAGCCGAGAGAAAAGGAACGGCAAGGTGCACAAGCCAGCGCTCCTCCACCAGAACAGCATGGAGGTGTCCTCATCCAACCAGGTGGAAGTGCCAGATACCACCCAGAGCTCACCTGTCTCCATTAGCAGTGGGCTAAACTCTGACCCTGATATAGCCGACAGTCCCGTGGTGACAGGAATGGGCCACGTAGCCTCGGTAATGAGCAGTCTATCTCAGTCCGCTACTGTATTCATGTCAGAGGTCTCTGGAGACCCTGTCTATAGCATGTCCCCCACTGTAGACCCCAACACTCACCTCTTGGGTCCTGACACAGCCTCAAGCAGTCTGGTCTTAGCAGTGACAGCCGACAGTCACAAATTTGCCTTTGCTGGAGCGGTTGGAGTGGGTTTAGCAGACGCAGGATCCACGGATGGACTTTCTATGCTGTCTACAGCCAGCGTGTCTGAAGAGCTGGTGCTGTCTAGTAACCTGGAATCTGGAAGTATCAAGCTGCCTGAGACCGATATGAATTTTGACCCCGATTGCTTCCTCAACAACCCCAAGCAAGGTCAGACCTATGGTGGAAATGGGCTGAAAACTGAGGAGTGCAACAGGAGCAGCTGCAGTAACAGAGGGCTGCGGTGTTCCCCACCACTCAACGACAACGGTTATGGCTTCAACGCCTCTCTGGTGAAGAACATCAAAACGGAGGACATGTCATTTGAACAACAGTTGGCTACAGAGGCTGGCTATCAGGTTGGAGAAGTGGTGAGAGGTGCCGTTGGTATCTCTGGTTCCTCAAACAGTGGTTCTGCCCAAAACTCACTGGCTCTGACTCCCACTGGTTCACTGCTGCCGTCTGGAGGTGGACTCAGTCCCAGTACTACCCTTGAGCAGATGGATTTCAGTGCAATTGATGCCAAGCAAGACTATCCATCCAGTGTTATGTCAGCAGCGGGCTATGGCCAATCTATCGCCAGCTCTCACCTGGCCCACCAGAGTCACTCCCCCAGCTTCTTCCTGCAAGGTTCTCCACAGTCCCAAACCCAGACCCACCAGAACAACTCCAGTTCGACCCAGAACTCTCACGACTCCAATGCCTACATGGGCCTGTCTGTCGTCAAGACAGACTCAACAGGAACTAATGGGCATCTCCACCACCATCACCATACCCACCCCAGCCAGCACACTGCCTCTAACTGCAACGGCGGCTCTCCCACCGAACGGAATGGACAGGCCGGGTCACTCCAGCTTCTGCAGTACCAGAACCGCTTTCCAACCCCAGGTCAGGAGCATGAAGAAGTGGGTGGTTTGGAACAGCCAATAGGAGCAGGACAAGGAGAAGGAGGTGTTCAAGAGAAGGACTCGAATGGTCTTATGAAACCAGGAGACCACTTGCAGCCTAGTGAAGGAGGAGAAACTGAGGGTGTAGGTGGCGCAGATCACTACCTCCAGCAACCAACGGAAGGTGGTGGAGTCGGGCCAGGATCTGGAGGAACGAGCGCAAGGGCAGAAGGTGGAACGCTGTGCAATGACACCGAAGGAAATGCAACCACAAACAGCCCCCATCAACAGCTCCAGCCGCTCCTGCAAGGAGCCGGTTTGGTGCAGGGGCTTTTTAGCTCCGTAGGCACCCACCAGAGCCTGGGCAGTAGTGGAACCAACGGAGGAGGCTCCATGGAGATCAACCTGGACCATTTTGACGTTTCCTTCGGGAATCAGTTCTCAGATCTCATCAATGACTTCATTTCAGTGGAGGGTGGAAGCGGTACGGCAGTAGTGGGGGGCAGCAATGCTCTCTACAGCCATCAGCTAATGACCCATTCGGGAACAGAGGGGCAGGTCTCCTCTGGAACTGCTGCGCAACAAGGTGCAGACGAAGTAGCTCATGGGGCAAGGGGGTACAATTCTGCAGACCTCTGCCTGCAGCCCTGTTGCAGCCCACAGTCTACGCAAGCTGGGGCGGTGACAGGCGAGGCAGGACAACTGGCATACATGCAGGTGGCCGAGGCCGTGTCAGCAGCTGTGGCGCACGGAAACATGGGAATGTTACAGGCTACCGAAAGGCTGTTTGTGGTGACGGACTATTCTCCAGAGTGGTCTTATCCTGAGGTGAGTTCCTGACAAGACTGCAGAGCTTAAAAAAAAAAAAAGATATACGTAGATGTGTGCTATAATAACCACCAGGGGGCAGCAGAGATGAAAAGCAAATGTGTAGGTCCAAATAGAATCTGCAGGAATAAAATCTGCAGAATTTTGTGGAATGAATTTAAACATAGTAAAAGCAGATAATATTAAAGGGGTAGTTTACTCAAAAAATTAAATTCTGTCATCATTTACTCACCCTCAAGTTGTTCCAAACCTGTATGAGATTCTTTCTTCTGTTGAACACGAAAGAAGATATTTTGAAGAATGCTGTTAATCGAACAGTTGATGGTAGCCATTGACATACTGTAGTATAGAAAAAATAATATAGAAGTCAATGGCTACCATCGACTGTTTGAAAAAGAAACTCATGCAGGTTTGGACCAGCTTGAGGGTTAGCAAATGATGGCAGATTTTTCATTTTTGGGTGAATTGTCCCTTTAAGTAAATAAAGGGCAGGGTACATGAAGGAATTTGTGAATGATTGTTTTCTAATTCTGTGGAAACCTGTGGAGTGAAAACATTGGAATTGGCCTCAAGCTGTTTAATGCAGGAATAGATTTGAGTCTTGTGAGGTCTGAATCCAAACTCAAGGTCTTCTCTACAACAAGTGATGTATGTATTTGTCCCAGAATCCCCTGGGCCACATGAGACACATGCTCAGCCTGTCATTAACATGCCCATTGGCAAGGAAGCAGTCGGACAAATATAGACAGAGGGATATTAGACCTCACCACATCAACCATTCAGCTCTCACAACCCCTGTTTTTTTTTCTCTGTGACATTTTCCTTGTTGGAAAAATATATCATCAGAGATGGGCTTTAATTCAGTGTTTCTTGTAGTGTACTGACATTTAAAATAATTGCAAATTTAGACCAAAAAGACATGTCATATTAAAAGAGAATATTGTAAAATCTGACAGTGAAAACACAGTAAATGTAACCAACCAATTTTGGGGTGATGTCAACTTTGCAAGTTTGAACAGTTTACATAAAAAGGAAACTATGCTCATTTATATATAATGTTGGTATATGTTTCTCAGGGTGGTGTGAAGGTGCTGATCACCGGTCCATGGCAGGAGGCCAGCAGTGAATATACCTGTCTGTTTGATCAGATAACAGTTCCAGCCTCCCTCATCCAGCCCGGGGTGCTACGTTGTTACTGCCCAGGTATTTTAGCACAGTCACAAACTAACATCTTCTTTTAGAGTCTTTTCCATGCTGAAAAACAATTAATAAAGATACTTTATTTGTTAAGTCTCTATACTGTAGTCCATGAATATATCATGTGGTCTTTGTGAACAAACAAAGGACTGTTCTTTAACAGCTGTCACAGAGAACTCATTAAAATTCCACTGTTACGTAACTAAATAAATAAATAAAAACAAAAATACTCTGAGCCATCACTCTTAAAGTTGTTAATGGTTTGCTAATGTGTGGAATTCAAACTGTAAGCTGTTTCTTTGCAGACATAAAATTCTTAATTTATGTCTCATTTCTTTTCAAAGCTCATGACACAGGCCTGGTGACCCTGCAGGTGGCAGCCAGCAGTCAAATCATCTCCAATTCAGTGGTGTTTGAGTATAAAGCCCGTGCCCTGCCTGCCCTGCCCTCCTCTCAACACGACTGGCTCTCACTGGATGGTATGTTTGAGATTTATCTTGTGTTACATCATATACAGCTCTTACACAGTTCTGTTTTTGGTTGTCATCTTTTTGCACTGTAAAGAAACTTGGAAGTTGGAAGTTTAATCTGAAGTCATGTGTGTGTTTTTTTCATGCATTTTGATTACTAAACTTTTCATTGTGTATTGCCAAATGTTGTTTGTCTGAATGGCTGATGGCAGACACTTCTTCAAGCGTTGTTTCTAAAGAATTAAATGGCTGGCAGGTCAGACTTGGTTGCTGTTAAACTTGGTTTTGCATGCATTTTAAACAAGGTGGCCAGGTAGTGTTTGTCTAGTCTAAAAGTCAAATAAAAACAACTCACGGAAACTGTATTTTTTTATTTTTCTTTTTTTTTTGGCCTGAATAAGTTGGTCAAACTGTGCTGGAAGACTTTGCCAGATGTTTCATATATGAATTCCATCCAGTGGAGAATCCTTGTAACCTGTGTAACCAGGTTTGGTTACATTTAAAAGACTGATAAAAGACTTGTCTGTTCTTGCACTCATGGTGTATGGAATATATCGAATATACTGTACACTAGAATTGCAGATTATAAGGACAGGTTATAACGACTATGTGGACTAGTTCTGTGGTACAATCATGCTTTGTTGTTGATTTTCTTTGTGAGGGTGAATCTCACAAAGAAGTATCCAGGTCATGTTTAGTAATAATTTTTTTTTTTATATAGTGTCTTTACTACATCTCAGGATTGCTTTATATTTTGTGTACATTTAAACTGAAGCAAGGCGATAAACAAACTCAAATTCACTCAAAAAATTTTTACTCAGTGTAAAATTGAGTACACACACACACACACACACACATATATATATATATATATAATGCAAAATATATGTTTTGCAATTTGCAAGTTGTATTTGAGGCCATCCCGATGTTAAGTATGTTACAGTTACAAACGCTGAAAAAGAGTGATCAGAGTTTGTGACATAAGATCTCATTCGTCTAATCGAGCTTCAGTTCTCCCAGCATGCTGTCTGCGTGTATCCAGCGCGTTATGTGCGTGGCGCTGAACGACACACCGCCTGGCCTGATTTGTCATAATGCAGAGAGGAGAAAAACAGTTTATCTGCAGCATTGCAGGTACTGAACCACAGGACAGAGGCTGAGAGGGGCAGGAGCAATAAACCTGCCTCTTGTTGATACAGATCTGTTGCAAAACACTCGTGTGAGCGACCATCACATTGTTCCAAGCGGTTATATGAGTGATCACAGCGGCTCCATTGTGTTTCGCTGCCACTCCCAAAAGAAAAGCATGTCCATATCCAACCAAAACACGACTTCAGATTCGCGCCAAGACGCGCGGTTTTAGTCAAAAGCGTAAAAAGCGAAATGCTTCGGGTCCAGGTGCTGTCGTAAATCGCTATAAAACAGAAGAACGTTTTAAAAACGCACATAAACAAAATACGCAAAAACCGATCGCGGTTCCGAGAGATGTGGCTGGTGCGCGTAGAGCGTTC